GCTCCAGCCACGTACCCACCGGAGACGTACTCGCCTGAGACCACCGCGCCTTCCACCTACCCTCCCGAGACGTACGCACCCGAGACGACGGCTCCTGCTACGTACACCCCGTCGCCGAGTTTGATCTGCTATCCAGCACCGTCTCCAACGGATGCACCGTCCACTTATTCTCCCTCGGAAGAACCTTCAAACTATCCTACGGAAACTCCGATGACTACTGATGCCCCAACTTACGCTCCAACCTCAACGCCGACTGAAACCCCAGTGGTTACGTACGCACCGACCTACGCGCCAACGCCAACAGTGACATACAAGCCCACCTCGACTCCCAAGGCGACTAACCCGGCCGGTCAGACGAACCAATCACCGACCCAGGGCAATAAGTCGAAGTGGTACCGTCGTCTTGGAGACTTCACGCTGTGGTGGTGATCACGCCCACAACGGAATTTCGTCCTGGGTGAGTGCCGATTGGACCCGGGGAGTACTTGAATCTGCATCCGATGCGTGTTGATGTTCACTGGTGATGGCGACGACTCCTACAGCTTACCGCACCAACAAGCTTTGCTTGATTTCTTCATTTACTTTAGGGTGATGCAGTAATACACGTCTTTCTTATTTTGACGCAATATTTTTACGTATTATGTTTTCATTGATTAATCTGCTATTTTGTATCGCTTGAACTTGGTTCATAAGTATCTAAGGATACACCGATGTCGACCCTGGTTCTGCTGAACCAGCCTTCAGCTATGGCTCTACTCAGGGACAGTTACTTTACTTTTTCCCTTCAAGACAACTTAACTTGCGTTCCGGGGATGACCCCGTGTAATAGTAGAAGACGGCGCTAAGTAAACTTGCATCGTACGCTTAGTGGGGGCAGATGGACAGGAGACGCCTGCTTAAAATGACTTCAATGTTTCCCACAGAAAACTAAGTATACCTTGCGTTCGTTTTTGACAATTCACCTGTTGATCCTATAATTTCAGGGAGCAGAGACTGCAGTTGCTCGGGCTGACTGCCAGTCTGTATACTTTGCTGATCTGAACGAGGCAGATGACAAAAACGCAATGGTGTGGAGTGTCTTAATCAACTCTAACTCCTCGTATGGTAAGCCTGGGCGCGTCGTAAATTAGATTACCGCCACTGCTAGATTCTATCCTCTCTGCCCTCTGTAACATGATAGCTCACCAAGGTTCCAAGGTGACGCTACCAACTGTTTGTAAACAGACTGGTCATCTGCAATACGACAGACTGGGATAAGAAGCACAAGGCGGACAAGTATAGATTCCACATCAAATTTGCTTCGAAGCGTCTGAGCGGGGACTCAGCATTCGAGTACAATATGATCCTGTTCTCTACCGTCATAGGGCGTACCGCCCGAGCTAACGAGCAGTTGCGCCTCAAAGACACGATGGTACCTCCATTCGCTTTGCTCAGCCTCATTTTTCATTTTCTCGACTCGTTCGGAGGTGCACTACCGCAGCAGCTTCTCGGACGAGCGAGTCACTCACCAAGTTGAGTCATTTCCAGTATGGTGCTGACTGTTCGCTCCGTTGCGCTTAGCGCCGCAATTGTTGCATCTTCGACGGTTCTGGTCCAGACAACTCCGCTCGAGTACAACCCGTACACTCCTCTTGAGGTTAACACGCCGCTGACTGCTTCGCACCCGGCCTACGGTGCCAAGCCAAATGATGACTGCGTCAAGCCGATAATCCCTGTCGACCCGAATGAGGCTCACGCCCAATCGGCGATGGTAAAGAACGGCGTGACGTACCGCAAGCTGCGCGAGATGGAGGATTCGTCATACTCAGACATTGACGATCTCTCGTCCTACTTCGGTGAGCAGCTAGAGGTTGGTTTCTCGGTCCTAAAGGAACAGTTCTCTCACGCTACGGCTCCACACACACCGTGGCCTAGCAGCTACTGGCCTACGTTCCAGGACAGTATAAACCATGTCTGGAAAAGCGGAGAGGACTGCCCATCGGAGAAGTACGCAAAGGCTTATGGTCTCGATATCACGGATTTCAAGGACAAGATCTCCGCCACCAACGGTATCGACTCGGTCAAGAACGGTAAGTCATGCCGTACGAAAGCAGACTGCTATGGCAACGGTGAGTGCGCAGTACGAGACGGCGCTTCGACCGGGTACTGCATTCCGTCATGGTACGGCCTTTGCCACGCATGGGCACCGGCTGCTATCCTGGAGCAGGAACCCAAGTGCAGCGTCGAGTTGAATGATGTGAACTTCCACGTGTTCGATATCAAGGCGCTACTGACAGAAGTCTACGACGGCGCTGAGATCCCCACTGTGTTCACTGGTGCTCGCTTCAGTGGCCCGGATAATGCTGCAGATGTGGACCAATTCGGTCGGTTCACGAAATCTGCCCGTCGCGACTTGGGTGCTGGTTTATTCCACATCGCAATCAGTAACATTATGGGCAAACACCAGACGTCGTTCATCATGGATGTAGCTGCAGACTCCGAGGTATGGAACCAGCCTGTGTCGTCTTACAATGTGCAGACGATGGAGATTCTTGATACTACCAAAGCATGCAAGAAATACTTCGACACGCCGTCATACCCGTTTAACACCGGTATGGTGCATCTTGCATACGTCAGGACCACCGTCACGTGGACTGTTGAGGCATACATCGATGGCGCACTGGTGT